TTTATGTACATGTCAGGGATTCACAGGCATGGGCTGAGAAAATGATGAATGCAAGCAGAGGAGTTCTCATGCATGTTTGCTGATTCCTTAATACTTTCAATCCCAGATGATTGCTAAATTGCTCTATACACTCATGTATCACTCTTATTTGTTTTGCCAAACATTTAACCCTAAAACCCTGGGTTGACTCATCAATGTAAGTACTGCCCCTTAACTCTTATCAAAAAAAGGAACCATCCCCTTCTTTGAGTAGAGTGTAAAAAGGCAAGAACTTAGTTCATCCCAGGAGACTCTAAAAGAAGCACCAACTCATTCTACTTTTTCCACCATGGTGCTGTTTCAAGCCATTTATTGCCTATTGGGAAAACGGCGGCTCTTTGGCACTTCCTTTCAAAGGAACTCCAAGAGTAGAAGGAAAAGGGCCTTTTTAAATGCCCGGGTGGGAAAGTGGCCAGGAGTGACTCTCTTAGAATGACCATTGACTTATCCCTGGGTCATATCAAAAGCCACCATTTTAGCCCCAAAATCTGCCCTTCACTTATACATGAAATTTATTTATATACAACTATATTTAGTAATAAAGTCCATTGCTAAAATAGCAAAGATGAAATAACCTTATATTTATGTTAAACATAACAAAAGGATTAATTTTATGATTTATAGTTGATCACATTCATAAATTATAGCATCAGATTCAAATATATGTATGTCCAATTGAACTATGTGGGATTTACCTCTATGTGATGGTGTAGGCTATGGTGCAGAGGAAGGGAATCGTAAACCCCCTCTGAGTATCCCTTGACTAAGAAAACCCTATTAAATTCATAGGGGTCATCATAAATTGGCAAAAAAAAAAATGAAGGCACACACACACAAATAAGCCTAGGTGCATATTGCATATAGGTCATTGGTTTGGTTTGTGATTATTCAATGCCAGGCCAAAGCAATACTGTGCCAATTCTTACTCAGTCTGGTTTCTGTATTAATAGCTAACAGACATTATCTACCTAATGGATGTTTTGACTAGCACTTTGAATTAGATAGTCTGGTGTGCCAAATGCAATACATAGATAACTGCTCTGACAAGAAGAGAGATATGGAATGATTGTTAAGAATTGTGGTATCCACTCTCTAGCTGTTCTTTTTAGTAAAAACAGACACTATTATCAGAATAAGCAAATTATAATATGGATACAGTTTTCTATTCAATGTATACGAAAATGTAAAAGTTATCACTTTTATTTTCAAATGAAATGCTATTCAGGAAAGGAGAAATACGTTTAATAAAATTGTTCTGGTCAAATATTTCTGGAGTGATTTTAAAGAAGGAAATATCAATGGAAACACCAAAATGTAGATGCTATTATGATATTCTCATAGGCAAAAAGTTAATAGATAAACCTAGTAAGAGTTCACTCATTGAATCAGCCGATGAAGGTGCAAACCACAAATTCAATTAGTCTACTCCAACTGGGATTAGCAACTGGGTTTTGGCCATACTTAGAAAAATACAGTAATACTTTCATAGTTGCTTTTGATGGATATAAAAGCATTTACTAAAATGGACAAACTTTTTAAAAGAGGGTTTTTTAATTGGTACAGCAGAGACTCGTGTGATTTTTTTTGCTTCATTTATATTCTACCTTTCTCCCAGCGCTGAATCCAAGGCAGAATACATTTTAAAAGTGTGTTCAAAAGGTAACCAACAATGAAACTAAACTGCTATTTTAAAAACACAAATTAAATATGACATTAAAATGTAATAAAACGAAAACTCTACACTTCTCGTTAAATGCTCTAATTGCTGCCACATTCTAAAAACCAAATGACTTCTTGAACAGAAAAGTCTTTACCTGCCCATGGAAAAAACAGTTTATAATTATAAGATCTGTACACAAGGTAATCTGTAAGCCTTTTTTCTAGTGTGAACAGTTATTACAATTGCTTTTGGTTTGCATTGCACTGCTTTTGCTTTTAATTAAAAGCAGTTAAATACGTTCTCTTGGTTGCAAAATAAAGAAGATATCTCATTAAATGATAGTATCTGCAGTTTTTTTTCTTTTGTGGTTGTTTAAAGAAAAATATTGGGATAGTTGCCAATATGGAAAACTCAATTTTTAATGGAAGGCAAATGGAACACAATGTTGTGTTCCCTGGAGCATTCCGCCATTGTAGAAATTTGGAACATCTGGTTTTCTTGATGAAGAACATAGTGGATCTGGGATGACACCTTTGAGCCTGAAGTACATAATTTCATTGCATTCAAGTTATGAATATATTATTAAATGAAAATCATGCCATCCTACTTTTGTTGTTGAACTACATCTCCTAACATTTCTCACTACCAGTTCACTGGAACTGCATGGAGCTATGGTTCAAAATCTGGAGGGTCACTTGATTCTCAACCCTGGTCCATAAACTAGTGGTTTTTCAGCTTTTGAATGTTATCCAAAATACCTGGAGGACCAAATATTTGGGACCATTATTATAGATCTCTGTGGTATGAAAATACTAAAATCCCCTTTTTATTTTCATTAAGCTATTTAAAGGATTTTCATTATTCTGAGGGGATGGAAAGAGGGAGATGTGAGGGTTTTTTAGGTTTGAAGTGAAACATTAAATGCTTTGTGATATGTTCCAACTGTTTTTGTGACTCTAAGGAGTTAATTGCATGAGGCAGGTAAAGTAGAAGTCCAGCATCGGCATATAGCCCCTGTTTGCAGCTTACTGCATGATGCCATTGCTATTCTGTTGATAATCTCCTTTTATGTTCATGATATGCCATTTAAAAGTTCAATTGCACTTTTATCTGATTCTGGGTGGTCTGGGTGAGATCTAGTGGGCACACTGGGGAAATGAACAATCAGAGGCGGCTCAACCCATTACGCAAAGTAAGCATTCGCGGTATAGTTGATTTTGCCCAGGGGCGCTCTTGGGGGAAAATAGACCTTGACATGTGCGAGTTGTAGTTACTGGGATGTATAGTTCACCTATAATCAAAGAGCATTCTGAACTCCACCAATGATGGAATTGAACCAAATATGGCGCACAGACTCCCACGACCAACAGAAAATATATATCAGTGATTGGTTGGGGGGGGGGGCAAAATACTGTTTGCTTACCGTTGAAAATTACCTAGGGCCGCCTCTGTGAACAATGATGGCAATTCTGAGCTCCAAAGACTGGCCCTTTCCTCTGAAGCCACTGACTAGAGTTTTGGGGCAGATAAGCAAGTGTTAGACCTGCATGGCGCTGCATGTCCTAAAGACCCCTCATAATTCAGATTAAAGTTGGAGGGAAGAGTGCTATTAACAATGCTATAGTGCTACCATGCTATAATACCATGGTATGCTATATTTGTGTTAGTTCCAAACAATGAAAAGAGGCAGGGGCAATGTCTTGGGAGAGGGAATAGGTGGGCAATCTAAAATGCTGTGTTCGGCATAGTCTTCATGCACACAGACACTGCAATCCTGCAATGGTTCTGAAGGAGCAGTAAGAGAAAAAGCAATAACACTTGGAGATTGTTTTTTAAGATATCACTGTTGAAGGAGGAGAGGAAGCACAATAAATTTCTAAGTTTTGAGTATTTTCTTGCCATGTGGCATTGAGGAATATGCTTTCTGGAAACACAAACAACAAAATATTGGTGCATAGAATTGGTCACTGTTATGCAGAGTTCTGTTACATCTGATAACTGGTCCACTATCATTGTGAAAGCTTTCAGGAAAAAGGTATTTTTCAGCCAACAATGCTATCACCATAAATAGATAGCTAGTGTACCATCAAGTGCTGAGCTGGCTTTCTGCCACCAGAAGAGGGCATTTCCCCTGAAGACAAAAAGTTTCCACTGACATGTTTATGGGACAATCTCAGTTTCTAAGCTAACTGCAGGAGACAATAAGTTGGGTGCATACGTGTGCTAAAAATACCCAGACGTCTTTCAGAATTTACTATTCTAATGAAATTATCTTGAAGACCAGCCATGATTAATAATTCTGCATTTAATCTGCATGAATATATTTTAATAACTCATTGTCAGCAATTTGCCAATGCAAGAATTTCATTAAAAATAATGAATTAAAACTAAAAACTCACTGAAAAGATTTTGGGATAGTTCAATCTCACTTGACAACCAAAGGTATGTCAGGGTAAGCCATTCTAGAACACAGCCGAGAGGAGGATAAAGGTGCTCTTTTGATATCAACAAATCAATTCTAAATTTAAACTCTTGCTACTTGAGAGTAGAATTTGATTCTACAATCCCACATCTAGAAAATCCTCATAATCCTCGCAGGCCTTTTTGTCCTGAAAGGTCCTTACAGGGTTCTGAATCTGGCTCATCACCACTTCAGTTATTATGAAGTAATCCTAAACAGGATAGCAAAGCCATAAATGCAGAATGTTATATACTCTCAACATTTCAGGGCATGTGTGACCAAGACACATCAGACTGCAGTCAAAATAGTTTCAGAGTCCAGCAAATAAACATGATTTGTGTTCATTTGGAAAACAGGCTATTTTAATTAGAAATCAGCGCAAACAAAGAAAAAAATCACACAAGAGAGAGATCGAAGTAAGCAATCCTGATGTTTTTCAGTATATGTATTATGAGATTTCATTTTCTTTATTAACCATTAATAAATTTAACAAAGAAGATTTGGAGAACTGTGAACATATTTTTAAAGCTCTACTTATAAATCAGAAAAATGAAATGAACACCCTATCCATTGTAACCAAAATATTTCTGAAATGAGGCATTTTGCTTTAAATGTACAGTACATACAGAGCATACAGATTTAGAACAGAACACTGAAAATATGTACACAATGCCAGCAACTTAGAATTAAAGAATTATTCTAACTTATTTTCACAGAAGTGAATTTTATTGTGTCAAGTAGAAAATGTAAAGAAAAAGACTTTTGCATTATTAATTTGTATAAGAGAGACATACTTATGCATATATCTTATTATAATATCTACTTATTTTGGATGCTTACCTTATTAAAGTCAAATGTCTCAAACATTTGCTCAATATATTCATTTGATGCAGGTGTCAGGTTTTTCAGTCCAAAAAACTGCTTGAATTCATGCAAAGTTAGTTGTCCTGAGGGACATTCTGTCATGAACTTCTTGTACCACTGGTGGCATTCTGTGGCACTTAGTTCCTCAACAGATTTTCCATCCATGTTCCCCATCTTAAAACAAAAGAGGTGGGCCTGCTTCTCAAGAACAACCAAGGTCTGCTGTGAGTTTCCCCTCTTTCAAATGAAAACAGGCAGAATCTTTACAACACAAAGGCAAGTGGCCAACTTCCTAAGGCTTGCTGAATATCATCTATTGGGGGAAGCTGGCAAAAGGCTTCCTGGGAAAATGTCCCTCACTCTCTTGAGTTTTAAAATTGCAGAAGCCTGTTCAAAGACGCTCCTGATGTTTTAAGTACTCACTAAATCCTTCTTCATCCAATGAGAAAAGAGTCCTGTGATGGGATCCCAAAAGGAGCATGGGAAGGTCAGTGCAAAAATAGAAACGTGGTAAAATGGGAAAGAGTTTTGCAGATAAATAGGCGTCAGCAGGAGATTAAAATGGCAAGCTTTACCTGAAGGCTGCACTAAGCTTCTAATCCACTTCACTTTTGATTCTGTTTGCGTAACAGACTAGAGGGAAAGGAAATATTTCTTTTGTCTTTTCCTTGATTCTTAAATCACCATGTGGAATCACAGGGTAGGAAGGGACCAAAAGCTTGTCGTCAGTCATCAGCTGAGAAACAGAAGAACTAATCCCCCAACAGGCTTCACTAGTCAATGTACACAAAATTGTTCCTTACAATACAGATACTGTAGAAACATAAAATTCTACCAAGTCTAAAAGTAGATACGACCAAACAGTGAATAAGCCAAGATAAGATCCAAATAGTAAATTCACAAGGTTAGGGTTACAAACAATGATCAGAAATTTCTTTGGCACAAGGTATTCTACATTCAACTAGAAAGAATCAATTCATGGAAGAAAAATGTACTAAAAAGGGCAATCCCAATATTGAACCTCCTTATGACAGACTGCTTCTTATGTGGACAAGAAGTATATCACAGCAATAATTAATACCAAGGAAGACATAAGCATGTGCCCTTGTCTCATATCCCTTAGTCCAAAGTGTGTGGGTTACAACCCCAATTTACCAGTATTTGGTATACCAATTCTAGAAAGCCCTACCACATTTTTAAAAATGAAAGAATGAAAGGTGTAAAATGAAGAAGATACTGTAGTTAAATTATTTTACCTCCTAATTTGGTTGCACGTTTCATATCAGATTTTTAAAAAATGGCTGAATTGGTTTTATATGGTTCTGCATGTTATGATTTCTACCACTTTCATTATCATGGTTCAGATGTAAGGAATTATTTTTAACTCGAAGGACTAACAACACGTCTACACTGAATAGTAAATCTGGGACCAGGCCAGAGCAGAATGCTCTGGACTGACTCCAAAAGTGGACCAATGCACCCTCCTGAACCTATGGTGGCAGCAAGTTGGAGTCTACACAAACAAACCAGACCGAATCCACATTGGTCCTATTGGACTGTTACCTCACTGTTACTGTAGAGTTCCATATAAGGTCCTGTCCATTGTGGGCACCTCATGCTGGCATCAGCAGACATGTCTATGTGACCAGAAAGAAGAGGGGAACCTTCGTCCATGGGCACTATCATTAATGTCAATATATAGTACCCACAAGAGCCATGAGCTCTCAGAAGCTCTGCAGTTGACTGGGAGTGGTGATGGTGGGGAGTTGGATTTGATGACCCTTGTGGTTTTTTCCAACTCTATGATTCTATGTTCTATGACATAAGGAGAATGTGATATTAGGACTCTTAGTGAGTGCAGAGGAAAAAGGATGGGGGTGATTCCCTACGTGGACAGCAATCTGCCCACTGCATCAAAGCTGCAGGTCACTCTTGAAATTCAGAGAAATTCTGGAGCATTCCCTGAATTTTCATAATTAGGAGCTAAACCAGATTAACCCAGTTTACCAGGCAATAATTACTGGAAGTGGAGAAACATCATAGGGACAACCAGACATGAACTCAGTATGAGTCCTGGTTATAATGCCTGTGTGGGTGAGATCTGAGTTTCCATACAGGGGAACTGAAGATGAAATTGAGGAACTCAGGTTACCATTGGAATTTTACTTCAGACAAGAAATCTCCATTGTTTAGGGGTGGAGTAGTACCTCACCAAACTACAAATCCTAGGATTCATAGAATGGAGCCATAACGATTTATGCAGTATGAAACTATACAGAACACACAGCTTTTCCTTTCTCCATCATCTCAAGAACAATGAACCATCACTCTTCTACAGAGCAGCTTGGATCTTTTCCAATCCACTGAATATCTGTCATCTTTCAGGAGTGCTTTGACTGTGTGCACCTGCATTGCAGGGGATTAGACCGGATGGCCCTTATGGTCTCTTCCAGCTCCATGATCCTCTGATTCTCTGAATAGGTCTAGATACGTAGCTGCACTGGCTCATCTGGAACATGATAGGTGGGGAATTATTTTACATAAACCCTTGTGACAAAATAAGATTCTTTCAGTGTTCCACTTTTGTTATATGTATACCTGCTTCCATTTTTTTCTCAGCATTTCTACAACAGTTTTGTTCTGTATCATTCGCCATAATTTCTTTCCCTTAGTTGACTTCTTAAACTATGTTTGTCTGATAAAGAAGCCATGGGCTTCAAAAGCTAGCATATGACATTTATCTTAGCCAACTAATGGTAGTTGAGATATTGTTGCAAAGCCAACAAACCATCCTTGCATTTTTCTTTATCAATTCAATTGTTTGTTTTCTCCAGAATGTTTCCCCATTTCAGTCTGGTTCAGGTGCATTTTACTGAAGATATAAACTATATTCGAACCATAGTAGAACATTAGCAGTTTCAACAGTAAACTGTTGTTGTTTTTTTGTTTGTTTTTTTGGCAAACTATACTCTCATACTTCATCTCACTGAAGCTTTCACCAAGGAAAGGGATTTTTTAAATAAAAAACTAAAAATTGATTTTTGTCTTACACATTTGTGCTCCCTAGTCTTTTATTTTTCCATTATTACATTATTGTCATTTATGGCCACTAATATATTCATGGTGTCATGGTAAAATGCTATTCTAGCACTATCCCCACTGAATGCAAAGCACCTCAGTCTATCCCCCACCCCCACCCCTATTCCATAGATCTTTTAGTGGATCCTACAAAAAATTATGTGATTCAGTGAATGGGACGTTGCTCCCACCTCTATCATGATGTCATTGAGTGGCCAGAGCTAATCTGCATATGATACTGTGTTGTGATTTCCCACTCCGCTCCAAACTTGAATCTCGGATTGGCTCTTATAGCAGCTGTGTCATAGAAAAGTGCAAATCAGATCAAGGAGTCGGATGCAGTAGAGAGCAGGTCAGTTCTTGGCACACTTCTACAAGCTGTTATCAATGGATTAAGGACAAAGAGGAAACACCTAGTTATAGCTGAGGAATTACTGTGTCCACTGAGAACTCGGGACAGCCACTACGTTGTTAGAGGATTTCAAGAGATTCCCTCCAATCTGTGAGGACCCAGTCCTTGTTGAAATTTATCACATGGTTATCCTGACCTAAGTTTGACTTTTGCTAGGAACTACTCTACACGTATACCCAATGATTCCACTTCCCTCTTACACTACCACTCCTGTCATATCAAAGCTCACTCTGGCAGATTATTATATATTAATGTATTTTATTCACCTTTTCTGATCATTAACAATTTTAACATACTTTCCCAGTGTACAACAAAACATGGATCCCAACTCCTAGACTCCCCCAGCCAACATAGTTTTGGGGATTCTGGGAGGGGAGTTTCCCAAACTTGCTGCTTACTTTGTTACAAATCAATTGGAGTATAGTCTCCAGATCAAGTCTACACTGTATTCTGGTTTGGTCACCTGGAATACCGCATCCAGTTCTGGGCACCACAGTTCAAGGGCAATTACAAGTTGAAATGTGTTCAAAGGACAGTGACTAAGTTGGCAAAAGGTCTGGAAACCAAGCCCTATGAAAAAGGGCTTAAAGACAAGCCTTATTCAGCCTGATCACATTAAGAAATTTTCCCATCATAATACACTTCAGCCTTTTTTTCAAGCATGGAGAGCTCATCACATGAGTTAAATTACTTCCGGCTGTCATGCGTTGCCCTCCTTGGTTGAAAAGAGGCAGAAGTGTCCTGAAAGGAGGGAACTCTGGCAACTCACCTCATTACATTGAGAAATTTCCCCTTCATAGGTCACTTCAGCCTCTTTTCAAGCATGGAGAAACATGGAGCTTATCACATATTCCGGGGTTGAAAAGAGGCAGAAACGTCTTGAAGGGAGGGAATTCTGAAGACGGGCCAGCAATCATGTTCAGAGCTTCTACCTCTTATTGTGCTTCACTCCCATGGTGCCAACTTAAAAACAGGTGGGATGGGAACCATCAAAGTTTCCCATCTTGTTTCATTGTCTAACCATCAGCAGTCTCTTGTATCATATGGGACTTGGTGCAGAACAATATTATTCTATGTAAACAAATTGTGTTAACCTGGAGCACTGTCTCTTGTATCATATTGGGTTTGGAGAAGAACAATGTTATCTCATGGAAAGAAGTAGTTTTAAACTGGCATCAGTCTCCTTTAATGTAAGGGCAGGGCAAGGGATCTCTTGACTTTTGGATGCTGTTGTTGTTTCTACTAATTAAAAAAATACTGACCATGTGATGAATGTAAAATGAATGTATTGCCAGCTCTTAGGTTTCCACGTGGGAGTGTGATGGGAAGGCAGAACTCAAAATGGGACTGTTGACAATATAAGAGGGGCAGTTCTCTATGCCAAAAGGGCGGACATTCATGCTTCGAAAAGACTGAAAGGTGACATGATAGCCATATCTAAATACCTAAAGGAATGTCATGTAGAAATTGAAGTAAATTTAGAGACTAGAACAGAACATTCCAAACTGTTTATCGCAATACATTAGTATCAACCTGTATGTAGGTGTGTTACGTGAATGTAATGAGAAACCTTTTGAGTCTATTTAAAATAAGCAATAAATCATATATTTTTAAAAATATAAATGAAAGGTTAGGGGTACTTTGATTGTGCTTTTCCTGCATGGCAGGGGTTGGACTAGATGCTCCATGCGGTCTTTTCCAACTCTATTATTCTATGATTCTATGTTGTGTCCCCATACATATTGTTATTACAGTTTATGTATGCGTCTCTTATAAGGGATTAGATTGCTAGTAAAGCTGAATAACTGTGTCACAAAATGATAAATGTCTAAAAAGTGTGTCCCCAACATGAAATGGTTGGAAAGCTCTGGACTAGAATATGAACCAATGGATTCAAATTACAAAAAAAGAGATTCCACCTAAGCAATCAGAACAACTTTTTCATTGTGAAAGCTGTTTGACAGTAGAACACTACTATAGAATTCATGCACCATTTTAACTGCCATGGCTCCATGCTGTGGAATTACAGTAGTTGTAATGTTAAAGATCTTTAGCCTTCTCCGCTAAAGAGTGCTGGTACCTCACCAAACTACAACTCCCAGGATTCCATTGCACTGAACAATGAGAGCTAAAGACAAATTGCATTAATACTACAGTATAGATCAGGTATGGGTGAACTTTGGACCTCCAGGTGTTTTGGACTTCAACTCCCACAATTCCGGTAGACTTAGGAATTGCGGGAGTTGAAGTCCAAAACACCTGGAGGGTGTAAGTTTGCCCATGCCTGTAAACAGACATATTTTAAAGTTTGGAGATTGAAAACCAATGTGCAATTTGCACAACAGTAAAAGAGGAAAAAAAACTGGGTTGTTGTAGGTTTTTTCGGGCTATATGGCCATGTTCTAGAGGCATTCTCTCCTGACGTTTTGCCTGCATCTATGGCAAGCATCCTCAGAGGTAGTGAGGTCTGTTGGAACTAGGAAAAATGGTTTATATATCTGTGGAATGACCAGGGTGGGACAAAGGACTATTGTCTGTTGGAGCTAGTCCTTTGTCCCACCCTGGTCATTTCACAGATATATAAATCCATTTCCCTAGTTCCAACAGACCTCACTACCTCTGAGGATGCTTGCCATAGATGCAGGCGAAACGTCAGGAGAGAATGCCTCTAGAACATGGCCATATAGCCCGAAAAACCCTACAACAACCCAGTGATTCCGGCCATGAAAGCCTTCGAAAATACAGGAAAAAAACTAGTTGCATTACTTGCTCCCTCTTTTCAGCTAGAATTAAAAAGGTCATTTGACACACACTCAGAATAAAATCCAGAAGGCCACACTTGCCTTTACAGTAAAAATGGGGAAAACAAAATATTTCTCCTGTTCTTCTTTTCCCTATTTCTGCGGTAAGGAAGTCAACAAATCAACCATAAACTAAATAAGGCAACATACAGAGGAAAGCTATCACCTAGCTTGCTTTGTCTTATGATGTTTCTTCACTTCTTTGAATACTTGATGAGTGGATCGGTTTGCATGTTACTGACTCATATAAAATGATTATAGAGTTGGCCACTTGGATTGTTTCTCCTCAGCTGAAGGCTTGGTTTGATACCCTTCAATCCAGAAGCTCTTATCGTAAGGCAATTGTGCATCTCCTGAAATTTCTACAGTACCCTTTCTAGATGAAGTAGGAAAATGAGTTCAGTTAGACTTTACATTCAAACACCTTGTAAATGAGACTCTCAGACAAAATGGGTGACAGTTTCAGTGTTTTGAGCCTGTAGAAGACACACCTGGCTTCTTCACCACGATTTTTCTCCATTTTGGGAGATCTACCCTTTCTACATCTAATACCTTCCTTCTGTGGTCTGTGTCTCGGCAATATCGATAACCACAGGTTGGTTTCTGTAAGGTGTAAAATGGATTGTATGAATTGGTATAGTTGGGGTTGTAGAAAGCAAAGTTGAGAGACTCAGATTTGTATCCCCCAGGGTGTAGGACAACGGGGACATATTCTGAAACTAAAGCCTGCTCCATCTTGTAACCCAGAGCAACTGGAAATTGGCTGTGCCCACCAGCCGATGCTTTGGCTGGTTTCTTCTTCTGTGACATCATGTAGCATGGACGAGTGCTCTGATTTTCATAGACGTTTGGGTCTGTAAAGAGAAAAGCCAAATGCAGGGAGATACTGAGTCATCTTTCTCTATAGCGAACTACTTAGATACCATTTTGAGGCCTAATCTCAGACTGAGATTTTTCCAACTGCAGAAGCAGGCTCTATGGCCTGTAGAACTGTGAATTTTTCTCCCTCACGACACCTTGGGAGTTTATGAAACCAGAGGATGGGAAAGTCAGCCTGCAAAGTCTTATTTTGTAGCCTTTCATTTCACCGTGTAGATTATGACCTCTCCAGGCTAGGAGGATTGGAATCACCCCCTCTTTGTCTCTGGGACTCCCAAGCCCAGGGATGCAAGAGATTGGAAGGAAGGCAAATAAACTTCCATTATGGCCTAATTCCCTTGACCTGGCGGGTAGCAACACCTTGGATCTATCCTCAGCCTTGCAAAGTCTGAGTGGAGAAGGTGGCCCTCCATGAAAAAGCGGAAGAACATTATTCATCATCCCAAGACTAGTTTTAACTGACACAATCTATGCTCCCTTTTACACAGCCATATAAAATCCAGATCATCTGCTTTGAACTGTGTAGACTCATATAATCCACTGGATTATGTGGCAGTGTAGAAGGAGCCTGTGTGATAGGGCTAAGCTGCACATGATCCAGTTTAGAAGAGACCCTGAGATTTATGGCACTGTAGGAATCTCTTTGGGACTCCCCAGTTGTGCAGCCAGTCAGTTTCCTTTCTGCCCAGAGTTGAGGGAAAGGACACACAACCATCCAATATATCCAAATTATTTGTATTCCTCTGCATGGTCTGGGAGGATTAAGGTAAGAAAGATACAAAATGACATATGAAAGAAAGGAGGATTCTCTGAGGAGTGGGGAAGGAGTGAATGTGGGGAAAAGCAAAGAGGGTAGAAGTAAAGGGAAATATTGGGATACTAGGAGAGAGTCTTTATCCAGGATCTCTCATAGATCCCTTTTACACCACCATATAATCCAGATTGTGAAATCAGATAATCCACATTATCTGCTTTAAACTGGATTATAGGTATCTATACTTCCATATAATCCAGTTCAAAGCAGATAATCTGGATTTTATATGGCAGTGTGGTAGGGGCCATAAAGTTGTTTTCCTGGAGAAGAAGAATGCTAGACCTAAGTTTATGAAAGTCTGGGCAGTCATTTGATTGGTTCATGGACCCCTGCTTTTCAGAGTGAGGGCGGGGGGGCGGGGCGGGGGGCAACCTACTACAGGATGGCCTCTGCAGACTAGTGGAGAATGAGGTTTACACCGATAGTCAATGATGGGGATGGGAGGATTCTGAAAATCTGAATTTTAGACTTCAAATCTGATTTTTGAAAGGAATTTTTAAAAATAAAAACTCAAACTAAAAATAAGCTTTGGTTCCAAATCAACAATTTGGGTTGGCTGACTGAATCAATAGAAATTTATGTCAGAGCAGATTACCATATTTCCACTATTTCAACAGGTTTCCTCTGGTGAGAATTAAGATCTGGATGTAAGTCTTTAGTTTTACATTTTCAGCAAGTAATGCCTAGTATTAGCTAGGTTGTTTTTTTAAAGGATCTGAAATCTTTGTGTAAGAACTATTTTTTCTTTGTTTCTTAACTGGCCAGTTCTACATTGGTTCCTTTATTTTCCTCCCATTGATGCCTGTACTCTAGGTGGTTGTTTATTTTAAAACCATGTTACATTCCATGACGCTCTGATCTTGTTAGGTTGTATTATTTTCAGCCTCCAGATTGGACCGTGTCTGCTGACTTCTAAGGCTCTTAAACCTGTTACAAGGGAAATCAGTGGATGTTTATGTAAAGGAGTGAACACTATGTGTTTGAAGCAAAGGGAATAGGTGCTGTAGAATAACATGGATATTTCTAATGTACCTTGCAGGCATAGTTTTCAGCCAACAGATGCACGGAGTTCGGTGTTTTCTTTTCAAAGGTAGTAAATAGGTATTTTGTCAGCATTCAAATACTAATACAAAATTTCCAGAGAATTCAGCCACTGCCAACAACAATTGGTTGTCTTAGTAGTGTTTCAATTGGATTGTACCCAAGTATACCATTACAAGACTCAGTTTTCTTCCATATAGAATCATACAACCGTTCAGTTGGAAGAGACCACAAGGATGAGTCTGACCCCTTCTAAAATGCCATATAAAATCCAGATTATCTTCTTTGAAGTGGAATATATGGCGATGTAGACTCATATAATCCAGCTCAAAGCAGAGAATGTGGATTATCTGCTTTGATAATCTGGATCATATGGCCGTGTAGAAGGGCCCTCTGTCTCATGCTATGCGGGAATATATAGTTAATATTTATATCCATTTATATCCTATGGGTTCAGTGGATGTAACAGTGCTTCAGCTGGAACCAACACTTGGTTTTGGACCAAGACTTCCATCATTCCTAACCAGGCAACAGGAATGGTAGAACAACATCTCTTGGTGAGACAGCATGAGAAGGCTGGATTGTATCATCCCATTGTTCATTATTAGAAAAAGACCCTCTCTTCTAGTATTTGCCCACAAAAATAATTCTCTGACTATTTTGTTCTTCATTGTTATTCTCAAGGAATCATCCTTCAGGATGTTTCCCTTCACGTCCCTTGTACATACACACATTCAGAGGGAGGGAGAGAACATAGACAATAAAGCTGAGGCCAAAGAGGGTTAACAGCGGTAAGAGAACGAAACTGGGATATTTTGAAAGCAGCTAGAAAAATGTGTTGACAAAAGATTAACTGGAATTGTACTTATCGAATCACGACAGTTAGAAGATATGAAAATGGTGGTTCCATGTGGCATTTCCTCTCAAAGAGCTGACAATGTCTTTCCTTCTGGACAAGATCTTATTATGATATTGCCACCATTCAGGAAAAGTCCTGCATTACCAATGACCTTTAATTCAGAGGTGGATCATACCCTCTGCATTTTGGGGTCCTCTGCCATGGACTGCACACTGCCGCTCCTTTGGGACCAGAACTGAGGTTCCACTCAGTTTTGATTCTTATTTTTGCTTGAAACTTAATTTGTTGTTGCTACCTCCTTTCCCCTTTATTCTCAAAAGGCAATTAGCTTTTTCCTGTTCAGTTACCATGATTGGATGTTCATGAATTGCTTTTAATCAGTCACTTCCTGTCTCTTGAGGAATAGGCAGCTTGAATTATGAGCTTCCTCTTTGCAACAAGAATATACAATTATTTTATTTTATTAAGTCATTCTTGAAAAAAAGAGGACCAGTAATTACATCCCAACTCCATATATATAGGGAAAGATGGACAAAGTTCAGGGTAATCCAAGAGTGCTACAATAGCAGGGTGTTAACAAGGAGCAACTAGTAAATCAAGCAAGAAGAAAATTATTAATCACACAGAATCCCTTTAAAAATCTCCACCATAACCAATGTGTTGGTGCTGCAACTGGATTTTCTTCATTTCTCAAGGCACATGAAGCCAATTTATGCTAAGATTGTGAGTTTATTTATTTATTTATAATGAGGATTTGTGGTTTGTTTGTTTAGATATTGGGCTATCTATGAAATATTGGGAATCCAAGCACAGTGTTTGGAATACTTACCACCCGCTGTTTCACAGATCCCAAAGTCTTTCTTCAGAATTTCATTCATTCACTACTTGTGTTGAGAAAAACAGAGTATCTGTGAAACTGATGATAAAAGTTACCAGTTACAGGTATTTGGAAAAATGCATTATGTATTCAATAGGAGATCTCTGGGAATTGATGCTTCTACCTTGTGAATAAACAGGTAGAAATGTCAGCGCTGCTTCAAAGGCAGAAGCTTACAATGTCAGCAAAAACTTTAATATTGAAGAGCATTTCAAATTACAAATTTTTGGTTAAGGGAGATGCAACCTGTACATCTTTATAACCATTTCTACTTCTCTGATTCCCATCCATGTATTAAATTGTATAAGATGCATGAGTATTAATTTACCAAACCCCATTCACTTCAATTCTGTTTGGAGTAGTAATCGGTTTTAGCTCTTAATTCCTCATTAATCTTAACTAATCTAAACAAACAATCCCTGTTGTTCATGAGGAGTTAGAGAATAATATTTACATCACCAAGGAGTTTGGATGAGGAAAGAAAGGATAAGAGAGAAAAAGATTAATAATGAAGTATATCTGAGGGCCCTTCTACGCTATCCTAAAACCCATGAGAGGTCACAAGTTTGCCTGAGGCATCCAAATGATGCTTCAGGTAAACCCAAATAAACTGGAGAAAACTGGGATATCCCAGTTTACTCTGGATTAATTTGACACCTGCTAAAGTCCAGCTCTTTGCAGGTGCCAGACCTTTGGAGATGCTCCTGCAGTCCCATGGGTCAATCCCCACAGCCATRCTGGTTCTTTGGGCTCCTGGAACCTGAAGGAGAAGGAGCATSTAGCCACCACCATCTAGCATCTAGCCACCACCACCKCCKCTCCCCCAAAGCCCAGGATTTGGGGTAGAGGTGAGGAGGGCAACCCAGAAGGAACTGGGTTAAAATAACCCAGRTCCTCCCAGGTTTGYGGGTAGTGCTTTAGTATAGTCCTTCAATCTTAAAGTTTTCAYATGTTTTGGATCACAAATCCCACCCTTCTCWAGCAGTGYGTTGGAGAAAGCAACTTACATTACAAGAAGATTTAATTTTAAAAACAACAACAACAACAACACATTSGTTRGCTTAAGYAGAAATAGTATCAGCTAWGTTAAGATATATTCTTGCCTCCTGGAAATTCTTTCAAAATTAACTGAAACCATCAAATTYATTGATTATAAAATGTATCCACCAGTAATTATGTAAATTAAATTAGTTTTTGAGGTCCTCTTTAGATAAATCCCCAGCAAAAGAGACATTTAATATAATCAAAGTTGGGCCGACTATCTAGTCTAGCCTAACTTTCTAGAAATGCACAGGGATTCGCATGGTGTAGTGGTTTAATGGTTGACTATGACTCTGGATACTAGGGTTTGTATCCCTGTTTGCCCATGGACCCCTACTGAATG